TAATTCAATAACTCGACTTCAATTGTCGTAATAATTCACAAAACTTAGGGCTTACCTCCGGCCTATAAAATCAACATAGACATCAATGTCTTAAATAAATTCAACAAATACAAGGACTTACTTCTCGGCCTTTAACTAATTTTCCCCCAAATACAGACAACAATTGTCTAAAATAATTCACAAAATACAAGGACTTACTTCCGGCCTGTAAATAAAAATTCCCAATAAATTCTCAATATATCAACAATAAAGGACTCAACTGTCTTAAAATAATTAAAATATTTTTTTATAATAATTCCCAATTTATTATAATATTACACGATCTATTTCAATCAAATATACTCAAGATTTATGATGTTCAACCTAATTCATTTTAACTATGTATTTATATTTATTTAATAGTTAATCAATCACTAACTCAACCTAAAAAAAATAAAAATTTTGTTCGAATATATATATTCGCTAAAATATTTAATTTTTATTCTATTTTCAATAAATTAAATTTATTTCTTAATAAATTATTACGTTATTATTTAATTCAATGTTCCGAACAGCTATTAAATTATTTTATTTAAATAATTAAAAAAAAAAAAAATTTTTATAAATTAATTATTTTATTTTGGGTATTTAATTTCAAAGTCCGAAAAATAAATTAGTAAGTTATTTTAATTAAATGTTTTAGGAAAATTTAAATTAGATTTTATTAGTTTATTTTATTAATGTAAAGGGATTGGAAATTATTTTAAATAGAATTAAAATTATGTAATTTATTTAAATGAAATTATTTAAAATAAAATTTTGATTTATTTTATTAATGAGTAAATGACTAAAATTGTTATTATATTTATTAATGATTGCAGAATTAGTTTTAAATTTAAATTAATTTTCCTATTTTATTCGAACGATTGAAATTTATTTTAGAATTTAATTATTATTTGACTTATTTAAATGATTGAAAAAATTCTACGAAATTAAATTATTATTTATTATATTTAAAAATTTGCTAACTCGCGACGTTATTGTAAAAATAAAATTATTACTCTATTCAATGTTATTTAATTTAAAAAAAATAAATTTCAACAACTATTAAATTATTTTATTTAAATATTATTAATTATAAAGTGTTAAAGATTTTTTTTTTTAAGTTACAATATATTTTTATTTTTTATTATTATTTAATTAGACAATTAAAAAAAAATTATTTTAAATTAAAACTTCAGTTTATTTAAGTTATATTTATTATTATTTTATTTTATTATTAATTTATTATATTTATTAAATATTATTTTATTATTTTATATTATTATTTAAATCTAAGGTTGAACAATTTTATTTTATTTTAAAAATTTTTAAAGTTCCTCACAATTTATTTTATTTAACACGAAAAATTCAAAGTTCTCAATAATTCCCTTATTTAATTTAACACGAATAATTTTTTTCACTTATATAATATATACTATGGTCATATAATATACCATAGGAGACGAACAACGATTTAATTACTCTAAATACTCACAACAACACGGCGGGTACTGCGGGTGCTTCCATTTGTTTGGTTGTAATGTTGATTGTAGTAGAGTGTTATGTAGTTGTACAGGATTCTTCTCGGAGTCGTTGGCAGGTGATCAGTCTTCCAACGGTGATCCAGTGATGGATTTCCCTCCTTGATCGAATTTAGAAGATGAAAATTTTTCAAAAAAATTTTTCGAAAATTTCGAAAAAATTTTTAAAGTGTCTTCGGGTTCTTCTAAGTATCTTTTGAGACACCCTGTCCACAGCGCCAATTTGTAACGTGCCCTACAGCGTTACTTGTTGATTTGGAAGCAATAATTGAACAAAACCTCTTTGATAGTATTTATTGTGTTTATTATATAAAACAGTTTTATAGAAATTATTCTAAGTCCAAATAATTAACTAAAAGCGAGTTGTGACTATGAGTATTTAGTGTGACTGTTGAAGTTGAGGTTGGTTGCTCGTCTGATGGACGCTTGTCCATCAGCTCTCCTCGATGGATCTCTGTCCCTTGCCACTTCCATACTTTCTAAGACCATACATGGTCTTGCGGTTAAGCCTATTGTGATTTCACACGCTTGCACGCGCCGGAAGTCCACATATATCTATATAGCACATTTGTGGTGTTATTCAACAATAATTAATAAATAATTAATAACAGCACAAATCTAACTATATTATTTTAGGATTATCCATATACGTAGTCATATATCTATTGTCGCACGCCGCTCATGGTCACGCGCTCGATATTACTATTATTGATATTATATTATTACTATTCGAAGAAGCGCTCGAGTATAATATTTATATATACGCGGTGCGAATATTATATGATGACGTATACATTATAATGTGTTTAAACCATATGGCAAAATAGTCACAGCTCGCTACACACTCAACGAATGTTTGGAAGTTGAAACATATTAGTTGATTCATTGAATATTTTTATTGCACACAGGACACATCACACCAATATGAGCATACTAATTACTAAGTAGCTTACTATTTTATATTGCATGTAAAATATTTAAATATAAACCCTAGTCGGCTAATAGTCCTAATTATTACATAATATAGTAACGGCCTAAGGTTGTTTTATACTTTTATACTTATACTAATATGTATTATAAATTCAACATTGTCAACACAAATATCAAAATAACGTTTGTCAACACAAATGTCAAATAACGTATCTACGTCCTAACGGACAAAATGTGATAATCAGACAATGTGTCAATTTAAATAGTTTAATTGTGTATTGTGTAAACAATAACACGATAGACCTATAAAAGCCAAAAGGTTAGGCATAGGCGGTACTACGGGGGTGGCAGAGTAGGCAACTGCCCCTCCTGCGAACCGTACCTGTATTAATACATAATTCCTTAAATCTCGGTTTCCTAACTCTAAAAATATATAAATTTTTTTTTTCAATACGAAATTTGTTCCAAAATATCTGTGAATGATAACACACACTTAAAAAATATTCTATTATTTAATCTATTCTGTGATTTTATTATCAACGAATCCTGATAAGGTGATGTGCGTCAAAACGTTACAACATTGCGATAGATAAGAAAAGATTCGAATTGTTAAATTTGTTAAATTTTTTTAGTTTTTTTTTTCTATAAATATCAATAAAGTTTTATCTGTTGCGCCAAAAACTGTAAAAATTTAATACAAGGTTCCTGATATATTGTTACAGTAGCAATTGAAAAATATTAAAAATACATAGGCACAATTTTTTTTTATAAGCATTTAAACATCGAATTTTGACAAAATCTCGGAAATTATCAATCATTGTAATTAATAAATTATAAAATGTTCAGTTTTTATAGCTAAAGATTGCAAATTTAAAACAAAGGTTCTCATAAATAGTTCATACTGTAACCAAAAAATCTAAAAAATATATGAACACAGTTATTTTTTACAGACATTTTAAATTCAAATTTGGACGAAATTACATATTAAAATCAATATTAACGATCTTTGTTTTTGTTGTAACTTAAAAATATTATTCAGGGATATATGAAACTGAAAAATCAAAATATTATGGCCTATCCATACAATCTACCATAGTATAAGGAATAACAATTATGCTCATGATAAGACTGTGCATATTTTAAGGAATTTATTCATAAATTCCATATAATTTAATATTTTAATACCATAGAAAAGTATATAATATGTCTTATACCTAGACTGACATACCGTCTCCGCTCAGAATCGTTTTTCTAATACAATGATATTATATCATTGCATTCAAATTTAATACCATCCATTATACAGTGACCCACTTGTAACCTACAGTACAGCAGAGCGACATCCACTTACCTACCTTTATATTTACAAAATTATTCAATGAGTAAATTGGAAGGGGTTTTATTGGGGTGAGGGGAAGTCACCCATTAACGACCCCCCCCCCTTCCCAACATATAGTTAGATAGTTTAAATATTTTCTGGCCCCCCCCCTGCCAAGAGGGTCTGTACCGCCTATGAGGTTAGGTTAGTATTTAAAGATGAGGATGTCAGAGCACTATTTGTTTTCTCTCTCTGTCCCACGTGCAACAGACAAAACGCATTAACGCAGAATCATTTTTTCAGTTTTTGTATGATTTTTAGTAATCTTATAGTAAAATCACCCATTATAAAAAATATAGAGAATAATATTTTTGAGGTTACACATCGATTTTATACTTTTTTATTATTTGACTTTCAAAATAAACAAAAAAATATTGTAAATTTAAATAATGTTTAAATGGTTTTGAGTCTTTGAAACAATATTTTGACAAATCGATAATATGTCATTCCCTCAAAAATATTATTCTCTATCTTTTTTGTAATGGGTGATTTTACTCTAAGATTATTTAAGAACACAGAAAAAATTATTCTGCGTAAATGCGTTTTGTCTATGTTGCGCGTGGGCCAGAGAGAGAAAACAAATAGTGCACTGAAAACCTCTTAAGTATAAACTTAAGTTGATAGGTCTATATCTATATACTCTATATTATTGTGTAAAACGCACATTTATCATATTATCACAGAATTGTATTTATTATTCTACTAATAGGTAGGTCTGTGGACGCAATAGACTCTTTGCAGGTGCGCAGTACCACAGCTGTAGAGTGTAGATAATAGATATATTATTAGATATAGATATATTATCTACAATCTTGAACACTGCGCACTGCGCAATACGCCAGTACGTGCCACTGTGCCAGACGCCAGTACTCAGTTGTTGTTGTAGTACCACCGAACAACTACCAAATTACATTTGTACGTTGATTGTAGACTGTGTTGATTACGATTTACGATTACACGACTTACGGTATACACTCAAATATATTCAATAGATGTAAATGTACTACCTACCTATCGTAATTGACGAATTCTTTTGTTTCCTGTGCGTTTTTAATTTTCTTTTTTTAACGAAATATTCGAAATTCGATAGTGCTTGGTCAATATAAAAAGACTATATAAACTATACAAACATGAATGAAAAAGGCATAATCAGTTTGAGTTTTAACCAAGACCATAGTGAGTACTTATACAAATAAAACATTTCACCGTCAACTATTACTGTTCGCTGTAGATAGTGTTGTTAGACATAACAGTTATCTCCAAACATTTGTTGTGTTTCAGCTTTTTTTGCCTGCTGTACCGAAACTGGTGTTAGAATTTACAACGTTGAACCCCTGTCGCTGAGAGAGAGATTTGGTAAGTCAATGTTAAATAACTTAAAAGCAATAGTGATTTTTTAAGCACTACATTTATGATTGAAACCATATTATTTATTGTGACTTACAGATTTAGGCGGTGTATCGAAATGCGAAATGCTGAATTCATCCAATTTCATAGCCATAGTTTCTGGTGGAAAATATCCAAAATATTGTCAGAACACTGTACTAATCTATGATGCTGTGTTGGAAAAATTTGTGATGGAAGTTATTTGTGCTTCCAGTGTAAAATCTGTGCTAATGAGGAGAAACAAGTTAGTATAAAACTTTAGTATCATTCTTTTAACGGAATATTCACTGGTATTATTTTTATTTGGAACTTAGGATGATAGTTGTAACTATGGACAAGATATCTGTTTTTACGTTTCCTACGGTTATTACGCACATAATTAATTTGGAAACCCGTCCAAATCCGATGGGATTGTGTGAAATCACTCCTTTAGAAACTTCTACAAAACAAATCATTGCATATCCTGGAAATAAAATTGGAAGCGTTCATATTATGGTAATTACAGATAATATTATGTCATACAAAGTTTTGTACAAAAATAACTTTTAATTTTAGGATGTTTCAAATTTGGAAGCAACAAGTTCTAGTGCCCCAGCAATACTCAATGCTCACCAGGGAGAGATTTCTTGTTTGGCAATAAATCGACTTGGTACACTTATAGCTAGTGCAAGTGCCAAAGGAACCTTAATCAGAATTTGGGATACTTGTCATAAAGTCAAAGTTGCTGAACTAAGACGTGGGTCAGATACAGCAACATTATACTGGTATGCAATTTTTTGTTGAAGATAAAATATATGTAAATCATATTATGTAATTTTATTGTTTAAATATTCAAGTACAAGGTTTTAAAATTATATACTACAATACATTTTATAAAATAAAAACGTTAGACAATTAATGTATTATTAAATGTAGTTTGTAATCTGTTCGCATTTTCACAGCATAAACTTCAGTCCAAATTCAGAATTTTTATGCTGCTCGAGTGACAAGGGAACAATTCATATATTCGCAGTGATAGAATCTGATTTAAATCGCCGATCTAGTCTATCACCGTTCAGTTTTTTCAGTTCCTACTGTCAATCACAGTGGGCTCTGGCCACTTTTACAGTGCCTCCAGAAGTGGGCTGTATTTGCACTTTTTTGACTTTAGATACTGTTGCTGGTAAGATTAAAGTTGGGTTTTTAAATACCTATTAGTATAAGACAGAGGTCACCAAATGGCGGCCCAGATACGGCCCTCAGATAAATTTTATCCTTACTTAATGAAATAAAAGTAAAACTGATAGTAAAATACATAGGCATTTGTTTGATTAGCCACCAGACTGTATTTGTTTTTAAAGTTTTCCATATTAAACCTAATTATGAGACTTCTCATAAATCATTTGGCGAAAAATGTCCACTAATTTGTCGACTTCATAAATCAAAAATTGAGAACCTTGATATAAAATATTAAGTGCAAGAAAATAATGTTCACAAAATTTCATGCAGTTAGTTGAGTTTGCCATTTTCTCCAATACTTTTAATACCATTCTATAACCCAATTTTCTATTTATATTATAATTATAATTAATTTGTATTGTATTTTATTTAATTAGGTAATTATTATTTTATTTCCACCAAGCTAATATTATGTTACTTTTGCATTATAATATGATAATATGTTAAGAATATTTTCTTTACATTTTGATGGCCCACAAACATTTTCAAAATTCCTAATGCGGCCCCCCAAAAATATTAATTGGTGACCCCTGCTATAAGATAATTATTGTAATTTAATATTTTGGTTAATTACAATTTTGCTTTGTTGATTTGTGTAAGTAATTTTTTTTTGGAATGATCTATGTAATTTGATAAAGACAGTTCTGTGATAAGGACTAATGGTATGTAAGAAGTATCAATAAAATTCAGACTTTAGAAATTAAATAAATTTGAAAAATGTTGATATGGTATTCCAATTCAATATTAACGGTTTTAGACAAATAGTTTGTTTTATTCATTCAGCACTTTTTGTTTATTTTATCAAAATTATTTCATAGGAAATGGAAGTACAGTGAAACTTTCATATTAAGTCCCGTAGGCAGCAAAAAACATTTGTATTTTAAAGAAATTTGTGAAACATAATTGAATAAATTTGATTATAATTTGGTTTGGTTCTCAAAAATATTTTGTTTAAATGGGAGTTTGTTATATGAAAATTTCACCGTATTACTCATATAAATCTAATACAACAAAATTACTATAGTGTATTGTGTTGCCGTCTTGTGGTAGACGGACACTTTCTTACAGAGCTGTCATTTCCAGTATCGTTTAGCTTACATCATATTATAAATATTGTTTGGCTGTTTGCCAGATTTACAATTAATTTTTTTGTAATCAATACACTATTGTTATTGACAGTTTGTTTATATTATGTAGATTATTTTATTTTAATATTGTTGCATTGGACTTATGTTACAGCTATCTGCCTTGATGGTACTTATCATAAGTTTGCATTTTCCAAAGATGGTACTAGCAGACGCAAATCATTCCAAATATATTTACACAATTGTGAAGATGATGAATTTTAAATTAATTTTTTTACCCAGACTTTCCATAATATTTATTTATTGTTAGTTAATCCTAACTAATTTTAATATAAATTTAAGTGACAATCTTATAAAAATAAAGATAATATTATATTTATATTATGAAAAACATATGATAGATGTATAGTTTTTTATTTATACATATCTAATATTGTACGGCATAAGGCAAATGTCACACTTTTTATTGTTTTCAAATAATGTTTTTCATTATAAACATAACCATATTGAATATTGGAAGTTTAAAACTGTTTATGTTATACATTTGTAATAACTTGATCTTAGATTGGTACTTAATTTTAATGATATATTATATTGTATGTTGAATCAAATTTTATTTTTATTTTATATACAGTTAAGTACTTTATATTGTATGTCTTCTCATCTATAATATCATGTACCAGGTACCTAATGATGTTGGTTGGTTGGGGTTGCATAAATTCTGTTGTGCACCTTTAGCGTTAGCTTCAGGTTTTCTGCGTACACGATGGTAGATCTTTAGCCGTTTTAAACGTTGCCCAGGGTACACTACGAGGAAGCGATCTACCTTTGTACCCTGCGCTTTCCATCTACACAACAGACTAGCCAACCAAAAATTGAATATAACATGGAAAGGTGTTGAAATCGAACATATACCATTTCCCAAATATTTAGCAGTTACTCTAGACAAATCCCTTACAAATAAAAAACACTGCGAAAATGTAAAATCAAAAATCAGCTCAAGAAACATTTTACTTAGAAAATGTATAGGATCAAACTGGGAAGCAAATGGCCATACTCTCAGAGTGTCTACGTTAGGACTATGCTTCTCCATAAGAGAGTATGCAAGCCCTGTGTGGTGTAGATCCACCCACGTGAAAAAGGTTGACGTGGCACCGAATGAATCCTGCCGCTTAATAACTGGGTGCCTAAAAAGCACACCTCTCCACAAAGTTTTCCCAATTGAAGGTTTACAAAAGACAATCTAAAGAAGTGAGGCGTAATACAAGAAGACACAAAATGTGACTGCGGAGACGAACATACTATGAACCATCTCTTAATATGCCCAAATTGCCCTACAAATTGCACTGCTTTGGATCTCATAACAGTGACAAAGGATGCAACCAGTGGTGAAACATTGGGAAGGGAACATTTGACATTTAGTGACCAATTTTTTTTTTTTTTATCTATTCTTACTCTTGTTTATGTTTATTTTACTTATGTTTATTTTACTTATAATTATTTATTTATTATTTAATCAATTGACAATTTAAACCCTTGTTTCGTTTACATTTATATATTTTATGTGTATATGTTTATATGGTTATAATTGTAAGTACCTACAAAAATTGTATAAATGTGGTTGTTTGACACGAATATAATAATAATGTACCTAATAATTAATAACTGCTGTCTTGAAAACAATTATAATAAATTAATTTTGTTTTTATTTTATATAATATATAAATATAATATAATATAATTATAAAGAGCATAACATAATGACTCTTGTTTACTGCCCAATATCTACGTGTATACAGTATTATAGTATACTATAGGTAGGTATTACGTATAAGTATAATGTGTATTGTGTTTGTTATTCTAGAAAAAATATAAACCGTAAAAAAAACAATAATAATCAGGACCATGCACAAAGCACAACTGTTTGGATAGCATTTATTGCGATTGATTCGAAATTCGAATGGTTAAAATGTTCAATGGTTGTGAGTTCGTGACTAGACAGTAGACAGTTACTACTGTTGTAGTAATGTAGTAGCAAATACTATATATGACATATATAGTATTTGGTAGTAGTCGATAGTCGTGTTTGGTTCTCATCATAGGAAATAAATAAGAATAGCAGTATTATAATTCTCATTTCTCGGTTTCTCAGTCATACTGTCATAGTCGTCTGTTCATGGAAAATATATTGCGCTTGTTCCACAACAGCGATTCATTGCGTTACGTCGATTTTCAGTTCCATGACGACGATGGCGAGGTCGTTTGGGCGGCGCCACAGTGTGGCGCGCAGGTCGGCATCGGTGCCTGGATGGGGTGGGGCGCGTAGCCCAAACAAAGCCGACACCGCCCGTAGCCGACGTGCGCCGCTCTCATCTCTCAGACTTGCGAGCTCTGGCAGCAGTGGCAGCGTCAAGCACTGGCCGCCGACTGCTGAGCATCACTGTAGTGCTGTACTAGACATTAGTGTAGCGGACGCCGTACACTACTGCTCACTAACGTTCATTACTGTCGCATATTCCTCGTGGTTGACTATTAAATCACCGCGTTGACAATTGAAACGTTTATATTATTATAGTTTTTGAGATAATCTCGCCTCCGCGGTGCGCTTTTATACACGGTATCGTCTTAGCTTCGCCGGTAATTATTATGGTCGTGCATCACAGCGCGACGTCCGTCAGCATGGAGGTGGATCCTCCGCGGAACGCCAACAGCCCGGATGACCCGAAAACCGCTAACGGCTCATCGGAAAATGAGAAGGCAGAGGATTCAGAATCATCGGAAGACGGGCCGCTGGACGTGGGCGAACACTACCTGGTCCGCCGGTACGACGACTCGTGGCGTGAGTACACACAACCGGCTGGTTGTTGTTAATATCTAATTATAATAGTATTGATAGTATGATGTAGTTGATCGATCGATGCTTGAAAAAACGTTTTTGTTATCCTCCTTTGAAGCCACCGCCGGGAACCAACCCGGCCGGTGCCGCGCAACGTGATTTTTGTGCGTGTGTGCGTGCGCGCGAGTCGCTGGTTTACGCCGCGCTCATGCGGGTGCGGGAGCGTAGCACTGCCACCGCCGATCGCTGACGAAATGTTGTGCAATCTATAGCTGTCGGCCGGCGCGCAACATGTGCGATTATATTATTATTATATGTTCATAATATTATATTATACACTGTACCCACAATATTATTATTTTGTTTTCCGACGACCGACTATGTGTAAAACGACAACACCGGCAGCGTTCGATTGTCGGTCGTCCGACAAACGCACAGCGCCGCTCCTGGGTCGTCGACTCGTCGTTCTTTTGTTCGTTTTCGAGCGCGCCAGCGGGTTCCAGCGCAATCCTGACCCCCCTCTCCCCCACACATTACCAGCCAATCACTTTGTTCCCCGCGATCGTCACAACTCACAACCGTAGTTGTTGTTGTTGTGGCCCGTCCCTCGACCTCTAAAACTTCAAAGAAGAAAAACGTAAATAAATAATTACGCGATGACGTTATAGTGCCGCCAAGGCACGTTCACGACCGCCGCCACGCCGTGTCTTGCGTTCAATACCGTTTGGCGACGGCGGGGTTCTCGCGCGTAATTTTCGCCCGCGCAATTTTTTTCCCCCCGTCACTCTTCGCGTCATATTATTGTTGTTATTGTTCCGCTGGTCGACGCCGGCACGCCGTGCCCGTGCGTTCTAATGTTCTATAGTCTGTATTCCTGTTCCACACCGCCGCCGAGACGACTTTTTGCCGTTTTCCCGCGCACGTCTCGTTCATACGGCGAGTGACTAGTGAGTGTAGGACATAGACTATTACTCTATAGTACAGGATGACCATATTTTATATTTATAATAAAAAAAATTAAAAAATTAAAAAAAAATTTTTAAAAACTTTCTTTTCTTAATACTACTTAATACAATCGTTAATACATGAACGAAAAAAGTTGAAAATAAACTTACTTTTAAAATAATTTCTTAATGAAACTTCAAGGTTATCAAGATATTACTAAAAGTGTTTCTAAAATGTATTTGTTTCAAAATTTTTAAAACTTGTGAATTACAAAAAAACGAAAAACATGGGGCACTTATGATAACTCCTATGTAAAGTCACTCTACAACTGAATCATTAGATAAACTTTATGATAAATATTTTAAAGATTATTGATCATACTTCCAATTTTTTAAGAGATATTCTTGACTCATAGGAGCCCCATGCGTTTCGTTTTTGTAATTCACAAGTTTTAAAAATTTTGCAACAAATAAATTTTAGAAACACTTTTAGTAATATCTTGATAACCTTGAAATTTCATTAAGAAATTGTCTTAAAAGTACGTTCATTTTCAACTTTTTTGTTCATGTATCAAGTAGTATTAAGAAAAGCATGTTTTTATTTTTTTTTTTGACCACTGGGTCGTGTATTGTCACCGACCCTAGACCTCCATACAAAATTTGAGCCTCCTAGGTCATGTAGAAGTGACTTAAATTGAACTCGCAAGATTTGATGACAACAGAAATGAAACATTGCGAGTTAAAGAAAAGCATGTAATGAAAATGATAAACTGGGCATGCGATTTTGGCTTGTCTCTAAAATAAACCTTCATGGTTCATATTATAATTCAATAATTGTGTACCTAGTACCTGCCTTATAATTTATATATAATATGTTAGTGTTAATGTATGAAATTATATAATAATTATGGGTAGGTACTTTCAGTTACTATATTCAATGAATCCATAAATAGCTCGATAAATACATACTTCAACTAATTATTCTATATACCTAGGTATTAATCAGATATTTTATAAACTATAGTTAATGTATTTACTATTTAAAACTATTATTGAATCTATACCTATATGAAATAATTAATATTCATTTTGAAAAAGACGATTCTGATTTGTACAACGTCAATTTGTTAAAATTATTAAAATTTTAAACAAATTTCAAAAGAAAATTCAAATGTTGATATTAAGTCAAACACGCCCTAAATTATTGTATAAAATATAAATATTCATTTATTTCACGTCAATTTATTAGAATCATTAAATTATTATTATTACGATTATTAAATTATGTATAATTTTATTATTTAGCAATATAATTATACTGTGCAATAGGTACGACATAATATCTCTCATGCCGGCAATTATTCTTCATTGTTTATAAATTATTATACTACCTACCTACCTATTAACTTTGGTTTCAAAATGTTAACATATTATTTTGTATATTTCTTGTGCACAAGTTTTTCTTTTACACATATAATAATAATAGTTCTGAGAGATCGGGGAAAAAGCGTCCCTTCGTAGTTTGTCAGGATTCAAGACACCAGGATAAATTATGCTAAAAAATGAACAATCCATTCAGTTCATTATATCCTCGATTATATCTTATAGTTATACCGACATTATCGGACATTATTTTGTTAATTATTAATATATTTTATTCGGTTATTTTGTATTTTTGAACTTCAATTTTCAATTTGTTGGACGAAATTTATTACCATGATCCACTAACCGGAAGAGCAATAAAATCAAGTGGATTGGTAAACTCCACCACACATCAACATGGCAGTATATTAAGAATGGCGGACATTTTCCCCTGATTGCTTTCAGTGTAGTAGGACATCTTCCCAGATAGATTTTTTTACAAGATTTTTATGCGGACTATTCCCTACCCACTATATTTTTTAAGTTAATTTTTTTTTTTGCCCAATTTTTATAAAAATGTTAGGAAATTTGACAAAAATAGACATTAGACAAAAATAAATAAACTTAAAAATATATATATTAATGTATTAAAATTTTTTTTTTATTGAGTTAAGCCTAGCAACCTACTGGCCAATAGCTTTTTTTGTTTATAGGGGGAGGGAGGAACTGTTGTGGTCGGAACACGTTTTGTATGTGTGGCAAGGATTTATTGCTAAAAATTTCAAGTGCTTGGCCCATCCGGTAGCTATCAACACCAGCCGATACGTACACTCATAGCGTTTCCGCAGCTGAGTGTACGGACCGCGCCAAAAAGTTGTGTTTAAAACGAATATTAACTAATATCTACCTATTGGACACAAAAAAAGTATTTAAAGTTAAAAAAAATTAAGATGGAATACCTATTGTGACTGTTATAAACTATAATCCACGTTTTAAACTTATTATTTTAATAGAACCTTTTATTTAACAATATACATTTTTAATTCATTATATTTGTGGAAATATTTGAATTTCTGTGCTTAAACAAAATGAGACATAAGAAAAAAAATAAATACGGGGAAGATGTCCTGCTACACCGAAAATAGATGTGAGGGAGAAGGGGATGTAATAAAATATAATTAGGTAAATGTTGCATCCGGTTTCATCTATGTCTTTGATATTGTTATGTTGGTTCTTCATTGAAAATGTAACAGACATATACTACCTACTGACTACTGGTAGCTCGACTGGTAGGTAATACAAATTAGCCAGTCAAATCATTTTTCAAGATAAATAGCATCCTTAGTTTTCTTATACGCACTTTTAGTTTCCCTGAGTAATTTTCACAAATCACATGTAAACTATGGTTTGGATATTATGACTTACCTATAGGTACAATAGCTATTAAGTAAGTAATCGAAAACTTAATGTTGTATACAATTATTATGATTGTTAATAGAGGATGTTATCGCACTGTTTGTTTTCTCTTTCTGGCCCATGCGCAACATAGACAAAACGCATTTACGCAGAATCATTTTTTTTTATGTTTTTGAGTAATCTAAACTAATCTAGAGTAAAATCTATAGGGAATAATATTTTTAAGGGGTATGGCATATAAATTTGTCTAAATATTTTTTCAAAACAATTTAAACGTCAATTAAATTTACAATATTTTTTCATTATTTTGAAAGTCGAATATTAAATCAAATAATAATAAAATATAAAACGATATATCATACCTTCAAAAATATCCTCTATAGGTATTTTTGTAATATCTAGGTGATTTTACTCTTAGATTACTCAAAAATCATAAAAACGATTTTAAGTGAAAGCTTTTCATCTATGTGAGAAAACAATTAATATTACGCTGATACCTACCTATCCTCATTTTATTGATTTATGTATAGAACAAATTTTTATCTGTTTTATAAATTTGTTAAAATGTAGTATTTTAAAATATAAGAGTTAAGCCGCCCCCTTCCTCCCCCAGGCTTTATACTAAATTATTTATTTACCATTAAAATTTCAATAATTCCACTAAATCTACACTTAGTATCTACACTTATCACCCCAGTATGAGTTTTAGTAGGTCTTGTTAAAAGAGATATCCTTTCCGACTGCACCATGCTGCAGTCTTTCAGCTGCCAGTATTTATTGAAACCGGTTAAACGCTTGTTTGATAGCTACAATGTTATAACTGAAAATGTATTTTTAAATAATTTACTCAGACCAGAAAAAACATAGCATTATATTATATACTGAATACTCAGAATGAGAATTGAAAAAAACACAATTAAACAGCGAACACATGTGCAGTCTCGGTGGCTGGCAAATCACAGCAATCCTACCATTCCGAGGGCGCCCAGTTTTTCCATTCTTATTCTGAATAGAGTATAGGTAGTAGCAGTGGCGTGGTGAACATTTATAAACCTTGATGCCCAGCATATATTTTAGTACCTACTCCCTCTTCATTCCCTTAATATAATATATAGAGTACCTATAATTATTAGGTAACTGTAAATATTTTAATTTTTGTTGTATGTTATTAGTTACCATAATGTACCCAACCACCCCACCCTCCAAAAAAAAATTCCACTATGACGCCTAGGCGTCATAAAACCCCATTCACCACGCCACTGGGTAGTAGTTAATACTATTACTATAGTATTTAAGGAAAGCTCTAATGTGCATAGCTGTGTTAGTTACTGCATCTATCGTGTTGATTCCCATTTATACATATTAACTTTTAACTTGTAATTAATAACTTGTACCTAATTAATAACAAATTTCCTATAAATTATAAATGACAATTTGGTATTTTGATCTTAATATAACATTTTTTTTTTAACAGTAAAAATAACTGATAACTTATTGTTGATCAATAACTTGATATGTATTATGTATTTTTACATTTCTTATATTAGGTATGTTACTGTTTAATTAATAAAATATTTCTAATTTTTTTGTTAATCTTTAGATCCCGCTGAAGTCTTACATACGAGGTTCAATGATACAGAACATCTTTTTGAGTATTATGTACACTATGAAGGGTACAACAGAAGATTGGATCAATGGGTACCAAGAGATAGGTAAGAATCATTTAATTTTGGTTTATAGTCAGCAAATAAAAGTTAAAGCTTCAAATTATGGTTTAGGATAATGAATTCAAGATTTGACATTTCTGAAAAAAATTGGAAACAGAAGGATGTAAATAAAAATTTAGATCTTCTAAATCAGTCAGACAGAAAGATCACAAGGAACCAAAAACGAAGACACGACGAGATAAATCATGTTCCAATGGTAATAATTATTTACTATATTATTCTATGATCAAATTAAATTGCTAGACTATTAAGATTTTTGTAATAATGTAGTGTTATAAATATTTCAATCTCAGTGGTGTATTTAGGATAGCACATGGAATGCATTTGTGTGTTTAAAATTCTGTAGTATGTCATTGTGGCCTGCTTGTGGATACCCAATCAACAACGTAAATTTGTTTTCAATAAAACCAATAGTTGTTTGATTTAATACAATAATTGTGTATTGATTCTATATTCTATTATCAAACTTCAAGTTAAAATATTATCTGTGTTTGGGCTTTCTTGTAGGACTTAAATTTTTTTGCCCTATAGTTTAAAAAAGCCAAAAACCACAGATAATAGTTAAATTGTCTATGTTTTGCATGGTTAGAATCTGACAGAGAATCTATCTGATAAAGAAAACAAATTGAGTGCTGTGTCCTCTTAATATATATCTCTAGCAAGAAGTTAATATTGTTTGGTTATTATTGCAGTGGGCTCCTTTTAAATATAAAAATATGTGTAGTAGTAAATGTAATACAAAAATTGACTAAGGAAATAATTTTATACATTTAAATGGATTTCATTGTATTTTATTTTAACTAGTCTTATGCAGAAATGGATCCTACTACAGCTGCATTGGAAAAAGAGCACGAGGCGATTACAAAAATTAAATACATCAATAAAGTACAGTTGGGAAAGTACGAAATTGACACATGGTATTTTAGTCCATTTCCAGCAGAATACCAAAAAGAACCTAAAATTTGGATTTGTGAATACTGTTTAAAATACAGCAAACTAGAAAAATCATTCAAATACCATATGGTCAGCATTAAATTAAATCTGTTTAATAATTGTTTTTTTTTTTGTTTTATAACGGTTGTGTCAAATTTTAGAGCCAATGCACATGGAGACAACCACCCGGTGTTGAAGTGTACCATAAAGGATCATTATCAATCTGGGAAGTGAATTCCAGCCAACACAAAATGTACTGTCAGAATCTTTGTCTATTGGCTAAGTTATTTTTAGACCATAAAACACTCTACTTTGATGTTGAACCATTTTTGTTTTACATCCTTTGTGAAGTTGACAAAGTTGGTGCACATTTAGTTGGATATTTTTCAAAAGTATGTCTACCTATTACATTTTTTATTAAAAAAAATCTTTAAATTGTGAATATTAATGATGTTTTGGTTTTAGGAAAAAGATTCACCAGATTGCAACAATGTAGCTTGTATATTAACCATGCCACCATTCCAGAGACAAGGTTATGGTAAACTATTAATCGCGTTCAGCTATGAATTGAGCAAGTTGGAAGGACTTGTCGCCAGTCCTGAAAAGCCATTAAGTGATCTTGGTAAATTGTCATACAGATCTTATTGGTCATGGATACTGTTGGAAATTCTGAAAAATGCGTGTGGATCTTTATCAATTAAAGACTTAAGGTATATGTTTATTAACAATCATTGATGACGAAGAGAACAGTTAATATTTATATAATTTATTGTAGCGCGATGACTAGTATCACACAAACGGATATCATTTCAACTTTGCAGTCCATGAACATGGTGAAGTACTGGAAAGGCCAACATGTGATTTGTGTGACGCCTAAAAACGTTGAACAGCTGGTGAGTTCAGAACAGTATAAACGACCAAGAATCATATTGGAAGGAAGTGCTATCAAATGGACACCAAAAAAGTACAATCCTCGCCCAGGACCATCTAGGCATTCAAGATCACAATACTTAGCTGGATAAAGAAATTGGTGCAGATCCTGTGAAATTATTAACATTACCTAGTAGTCATTTAAGATTTACCTAATGTAAATAGTTAAAACTTTTTTACATATATATTTAAATATATATTTTGGGAAGGTTTAAATGACAAGGGCTAACATCAGTGTTGCTGTTCGTTAAGGACTGATATGGATTATTCACAACAGACATTGAGTTAAAAAATATTTTTTTTCTCGGACTATATCATATATCCGGCAGTTGTTAAACTGTTAATGGGTGGTGTTGTAAATGATTTATGGTGAACGCAATTGATGTGAAATGGGCATCAGTCTTTCAAAATTGTGGTTGTTCCCCAATACCCTATGGTATTTGTCTTGTGTAGATACACGTATTATTATTGTTCAGCGTGATGATGTGTTTGCTATTTTAATTAAATACCATATTACATTGTCCCTTGTCATGCCTTTTCATCATGTGATAGTATTTTATTTTTGACTTTTCCAAGTACACGCATAAGACATAAGTTGACATTATAATTATCTCATTGTAAATCAATAATTTTCTATTTTATATCTTTTATATTTCATTAATTAATGTGAATGTGCTTATGTTTTAGCGTAAATAAATACAAACTTACATTAACTTTGGCATTTAATTTTAAATATGATTTTCCGGTTATTTTATTATACATACATAATATAAAAAAAAAATAGTAAGTAAACAAACTTTCCTATAGCCAGTCTTTTATTTTGTATTGTACTTCTTTGGTTACCTTTCTTTAAATCTATACATTATTAATGTATCGATATATTCTGCTCTTAGCCGTACAATAGCAAGAGTAACGTTTGATGCTTTTATATAAAAATTTAAGTGAATCAACCGCTTACTTAATTATTGACATTAGTTAAAAACCATTCTATGAATGTAATTTACAATTTGAATAATATTCGACTGTGAAATTGTGTGAAGTAAAACTTAAGTTTCATAGTAAATATATATTATATATTATTCACAATTATTATGATAAAAATAATATATTATTGATTATACTACTGTATTACTATTCAGCTGTTGGTGCAAAGTGAACCTATTATTAATTAAGGTTATTGCATTTATTATTATATTCCAATGGGTTTTGTTAAATATGACATGGTTTATGTTTGTAGGCAATTAGATTACTTTCTATATTCTTTTGTACTGATAGTGAAAACTGTTTACTGTTCATAAGAAATGTTGGTATAAAAATAAGATAATGTGGAAGTAGTTGATGCTTATGTTTACTATAGCTTAAGCAGATAAATATATTTAGATCACCGTTGAAAATGTACTATGATATTATATAATTAGTATCCTACTTCAATTTGTACTAGACAGAAATATGAATAATCCTATATTTTATAATTACCTTATATAAATATGTAAGCAATTAAAAATACTAAAGAATTTATTTTACTTGTCCATAATTTTCCCTATAATTATAAATACATGGCCTTTCAATATTATTTCTATACCTATTTATTATTTTATTTTAAATAAATAGACATTCATCTGTTCATTTATAGGTTTCAATATAATATTATATTAATGAATAACAATTTATTATTATAATATAATATAATGTATATGTCCGGAATTGTGTAATTTATTGAAACCTAAAATGTTTCAACATTTTAATACTGATCATTGTGTGATAAGTTCTATTTCTTTTCTACTTAATTTCAAACAAATCCCACTGATTTATTGTATATTTTTTTTAAGTTTGATTCTGAGAACAAATTATAGTTCATGAATGATAAAAAAGTCAGTCTTCATTCTCAATATGATATTTGATATTGTATTCTTATATCATGAATAATACATTTGGGAATGTTGACTATAATTTATTCTGTTATCTTTCGGTAGTTTTTACTAATTTTGGAAGTACTTATTGTAAGAAAAAATTAATGAATTGGGAGGCAATTAACAAAAATGTAGATACCTCTACCCAACTGTTATTGCGCCGCTGGTACTGACACTTTGAAACAAGTAAACTGCACGTTGAACGTTTTTTACAACAAAATATTTGTTAAATTTAGCGTTATAAATTTAGTTGATAGCGCCCCCCCGAATTTTTAAATTTTTTTCGGACATCTATTGTACAAAAAAATTGAAAAAAAAGGTTCAGTAAAACAGAAAAGTTCCAAACGCGCGATAAAATGTTAAGTTGTACAAATGTGAGGTAACACACCAAAAAACTTGAACTTCGTAAGGCTATAACTGAGAAACTAATGATTTTCAGGAATTAATTTTAGAAAAACATAATATTACATTAATTAACAATTACTGTCAGTCAGCCTATGATATTACGAAGTATATTTGATGATATTAAGGTGCTTAAAGTAATTTATATAATATATAATTATAATCCACTTATGTGGAATCTCGTTTTAAATTTTCAATCCTTATCTATAAATTTTTAACTCCCAATTGTTATTAAATTTTAAATTGTGATAAATTTTGTCAAAATTTGAACTTTAAATACTTTTAAAAAAAATGTTGCCTATGTATTTTTAATATTTTTCAACTGCTATTGTAACAATATATCAGGAGCCTTGCATTAAATTCCCATGCTTTTTTACCCAACAAATAAAATTTTATTGATATTTAAAGAAAAAAATGTGAAAACTGTCAATGTCCGTAAACAGCTCTAAGTTATTTTCAAAATTGTATGGTGTATAGAAAATGCTAATACAATCATTCAGTGAAATTTTCAAGTATCTACAGTCATTTGTTTTTTAATTAAAATAAAATAAGAAAATCATGAGAAATCGAGTGAATATCAAATGTTGTAAAAATATGAATTTCCAAACTCTCATAAAAATTTAATTTAACTTTCTTATAGACATTTTTTTTTTTTTGATAAAGGTAGATAATCTTATAAGGAATCTTGTATTATATTTTCACATCTTAGATTTAAAAAGAAAAATTTTTACGAATTCTTAACTCAAAATAATTTGCTAATTTTCGTGATTTTTTACGTATTTTGTCAATATTTGAACTTTAAATGCTTATAAAAAAAATTGTGACTGGATTTTTAATATTTTTCATCTATCTTTGAAACAATATATTAGGAGCCTCCTATTAAATTTTTAAGCTTTTTTAACCAACAAAAACAATTTTATTGATATTTATAGAAAAAAAAAACTAGTAAAAATAGAAACTGAAAATGTTCGTCAACAGCTCAAAATAAGTCAAAATATTTGAAAAATGTTATGGTGTATAGAAAATGCTAATATAAACATCCAGTCAAAATTTCATGTACCTGCGTTAATTTGTTTAAGAGTTGTACCAAAAACTAATATCGATATTTTTGAAAACAGATTTTGTGTAAAAATTCCCGTTTATCCTTTATTTTTCTTTTGTTTTTCGCTGCACTTTTGAAAATTACTGGAAAAATTATACTTAGTGATTTCCTTATTTTGTTGTAATTCAAAAACGAATAACTATAGATACATGAACATTTCACTGAATAATTTATATTTATAAAACTACTGGCAAATTTTCCCTTTTCACCAACCAAAGTACCAACTAGATTCATCAGAAAAGATACTGTTGAAGAAAATCCAAGCACTTTTTCTGTTCTAAAAGGTGATGACAGACACAAAAAAAAAAAGGTGGGCAAGTGTGTCGCTCTGCTGTACAGTAGGTTACAAGTGGGTCACTGTATAATGGATGATATTAAATTTGAATTCAATGATATAATATCATTGTATAAGAAAAACGATTCTGAGCGGAGATGGTATGTCAATCTAGGTATAAGACATATTATATAGAAATATATATGGTACTAAACCAAAATTTGACCTATAATAAATTCCAAATTAATCATATCACAATATCCATTAGGTACTTATAACGCGTTATACACAGGGTTGCCACCCGTACTATTTTTTAAAGTATTGTACTTTTTTTTTCACATCTGTACTTTGGACTTTGTAGTCTTAATAAAGTACGCTAAAATACTTTATTTCTTATAATATTTACTTGAGGAAAGTAGTTCATCAATTATTCTTAACACGGAATATAGATATTGTGGGGACGCTAATAAATTGTATAATATTATTATTTTAGAAGTAATAGTATTCAATATTACAATTAATAAATGGCAAAGTTTATTTAAAATTGCGAATCTTGAAAATAATAACTTTCATCTTAAAAATATTTACAAAGTTGTTAGTTTTATATATAGTATTCCTGCAACATCAAGTTACTGTGAGAGAGTATTTTCTATGATGAACTTAAAATATAGAGATGAAAGAAATAAGTGTAGGCTTGAACTTATCAAATACGAATTAATTATCACTCTTAATGCTAAAGAAACATGCACTGAAATTTATGATAATTTTAAAAGATGAAAAATTACTAAAAGCTGCTAAAAGTAATAAAAAGTATACATTTAAAAATATCGTTAATAAAAATAATTTATAATATATTTATAGAAATAATCTAATAATAAAATATTGTTATAAGTTTGTTAAAAAGCTTAGTTCTTAATACTATGTTTTAATTCTATGATGTTTGTATGATATCAATAAATTCACATTTTTTTATTGTTTAAATAATTGTTTTTTTTTTGTCCTGTACTTTACTCATTACTGGTTAATGGTTTGGTTCAGTATTTTCACAATTTATTTTGGGTGCAAAAAAATCTCCATAAGTCATGATGTACTTTATTTTAAAAACAAAAAGGTGGCAACCCTGGTTATACATCAACAAAAACCGTGATACTATCATAGATATATAATAGTACACTTTAGAAGTTTCAAGTACCCACGAATAATATTATTCAATCACAACAAAATAACTAAAATAGTTATTCTAGGTTTTTTAATATGTAATTTCGGCCAAATTTGAATTTAAAATGTCTGTAAAAAATAACTGTACATAAATTTTTAGATTTTTGGTTACAGTATGAATTATTAATGAGCACCTTTGTTTTAAATTTGCAATACTTAGCTATAAAAACTGAACATTTTATAATT